GGAAATGAAGATTTCTTCACATCTTTATTCATTTAATTAGGTCGCAAAGCAGAGCTGGAGCCAGAAGATGAATTACCTGTGGCCTTGATACGGTGCCACAGAATCTCTGCACAGTAGGCTCTGCAGAAATTATACCCTAAGTCTGGAGGTGGGCTTTTGGCAGTGTCGACTCTCAGACTGGTCCCTATTCTCTCATTCGACTAAATTCAATTATCCTCACGTAAACCTGGTAAATGAAAGAAGAACTTAGGTCTCCTATCATGTCTTGTGTCCATGTCACATAGTCAAGCAGCTTCTACGATCAGGATGAACTGAGTAAATATCGATATGAAGGAAAAGAAATGCATACAAAAGGGGCACGCAGTTGGCAGAGCAGGTTAGCACACCCCGCAGTGGTCGTGGGTTCGAATCAAGCCCCGACCATGTGCTGAATATCCTCCTCACATCTCACACTATTCTGTCAATAAAAAGGTTAAAATTGCCAAAAAAACAAACAAACAAACAAAAAAAAAAAAAAAAAAAAAAAAAAATATATATATATATATATATATATATATATATATATAAACGCATAAAAACTTCGAAAACTTTGCAACTCTGCTTGACAGAGAGGGCATTAGCAAGCTAAGCTAATCACTTGGCTCTGGGAGGACATGTCCTTTTAAGATTACAAACACAAATCTTGCTAATAACCATAAAAATAAATACAAAACTGTGTACAAGAAGGTCCCAACAATTAAAAAGAAGATGTATACAATCAGTAAAATTTTAATTTAGCTCTTGCATATGCTACAAACAGATTATTGAAACAAGGCGCCCCAGACAAAAAGACTGATTAAAAACAAATAATTATTATTTGAGTGCAAACAGTCTTTTACGGTGTGACCTCAACATGACCCAGCAAACACAGTCTGGAGAGAATTAAAAATGAGACAGCGCTAGAGGGAAAACCAAAGAAGCTTAATGTTGTCACCTTGTCAAGAGTGTCACCGCAAACTTATGATGCTACATGAGAGCAATAAATGTTTGATCTATGGAGCTATCTACTGTAGGAACACCATTTAATCATATTCCTGTTAGAGGAGTATAAAAATGATAAAAGAAGATGAATACTGGAGCAAGTTTTTGTCACTTTTTCTGCTTCATTTATAGTATAAAATTGAATCTGTGCTTAATATAATCTTCACAACCTGCTCAGGGTGTGTTTGATCATATTTAAGCAAATATGTGATGATGGATGTTAGAGAGGAGCAGCACGGTCCCGGTGGATAATGATAGGTCAAAGTTGTCATCACAGGCATAACAGCCTCCTGAATCAGCCTGTAACCATCACAGATCCCCAGGGTTTGTGCTCTTTTAGTTTCATCGCTGTGCAGCCGGCTAATAGCCCACTGTCATTCTGCTTTATTTGTGATGCAACAGATTAACGCCAGAGGCCGTTAACATATTCTAACCCTCATTTAGTCGTGAGTGACAGTTCCAGACCCAGAAAAAGGTGTTTCCTGATGTTCTTCCTGTTGCATTTTAAGCATCAGCGGCGTTACACCCCTGGTTTTCCGTTCCTGCAGGGTTTTTGTGTATTCAATGCCGTCTCGCCACTGAAGATGCTGGAAGATCTAATCAGTCCTGCTTCACTTCACTCGATCTGTTTCCTCAATTAGGTTGCAAGCTTTTACTTGTGGAAGGCTTGTTGCTTTACATAGGTTTGCTGGTAAAGCAAATGCAGCCTGTTGTAAGGGGAAATATTTATCCAGGGGGTCGTTATAGCTCTCCCAGCAGACCTCCGGCTTATCTTCAATCACACATAACGCTTTGCCGCCTGCAGTTGTGTATTTACATACGTAATGGATTTGCTCTTATCATACAGCAGCTCATCTATGTGCAGTCCAGAGTCATCCTCCTCTCTCAGGATACCCCTCCTCTATTTAGCTGAATGGTTTTCTGATTAGATGGCAGCAGAGTGTAAACACCGAGTGTGAACTGCAACACGTCTGCGGATAATTTAGGGAGAGTTCGATCAAGAGGGTGGTCGAAAGATCTTCATGTCGCTTTAATCCTTCCATAAGGGACCCATGTAAGATCTCGCCCTGGCTTACCCTTTGGATCAGGAAGAGCAGTGACGCTAAACATCCTGTCAGCTGATCAGTATCATTCGTCCACATAATCTGACAAGCTGCTCTGACCATTTCCACAAACACTTTCTCCTGCTGTTCACAGTGAGTTCTTCTAATTCCTCCTTTCAGTCTCTTCCTGCTCTTGCTTCCTCCTTCCATACTTGTGTCGGCATCTCTGGCATTGTGCACCATGTATTATCTCAGTCATACAGTATGCGTCTGCTGGATTTTGTGCTGCATACCCCTCAGGATATTTTTATGTGCTCCGCTCAGAATCTCACACTGTTTGGATTCACTCGGGAAACCCCCTCTAGCACATTCCTGATAAATACAATTGCATATTCATTTGTTGCAGGAAAATGGGGCTAAATCATTTACCAGACTCCAATGCTTTCACGGTCATTGCAGACGCTGCTGTCGGGAAAATGCTGCTGTTTGTCCTTTTCATTACAAGAAGCCAGCAGAGTAACACAGGCTCACGGTGGACATCGTGTATTACAGCCAATACCCTACAGTGAAATGAAAACAAGGCTACATTTAAGCTCCTTAAGCAGCTGCATGAGAAAACATAGGAGCAGAAACAGGGCCATGCACAGGAAAAAATATGACAGCGAGACTAGAACAGGACCATAAAAAGTGTGACAACTTCTTTTTGGAGATAAACTTGAAGAAAAAAAAAAAGTTCATTGAGTCTTTTATGAGGAGTAACCCATCTCCCTCCTCTCTCAAACTCAAACATAAACCAATAACCCATATGGTCAAAGTTGAGTAAATGTCAACATGTACTGCAGCACCCCACAAAACAACATTATGTGGCAGAGAGAGCCGGACAGGGCTGGTTTCGTGTAAGCGGCCTGAACAAACAGCCCGCACAGAGGAGGAAGTCCCATCACGGGGGTCAGGGTTTTGTTAGGACAGACCAAATATGAGAGACCAGCATATGAAAACAATCACATAATGGATTCTCATACTTCAGGGGGACAGGAAAAACCAATATGAGGATTTTCTTTTTTTATTGGGTACACTGTGCAAATACATATACTTAGAAAAGAAGGAGTGAAATCAGAGTTTTTTTTTTTTTGTGAACCTTTTTGGCTGCAGTGGATCAGTTTGCCCAGCTGTCACATTAGATGGTTAATTTACAAGATAATATAAGGACTCATTCATTATGGCTTACAGTTTGAAATAAAAAAAACTAAACATATTTCATGAAATGACTATTTGAAATATTTTAAAGTGTTTTTTTAAAAGAAAACTTAATTGCCAGGCTGTTTTCTCTTAGTGTTTACGTGATTTCCAGTGCTTCTACAGTATCGGCTTCATTTCCCAAGACCTGACATTGATGCTTGGTCAAACATCATCGAAATATCACGCAAAGTACTTTGAGTTTTAGCTATGAGCTAAGCATGTCGGGGCAGCTAATCAACACTGTGAAATATTTAGGTCAAGGGTTTTTCTCAGTTTAGTGTGATACGTTATGTATGGTTCACAGAGTTTTAAGAACTACTTTGAATGCAAATGAATTAAAAACTAAAGAGATTTAAAATGTTGATCACTCATCAAACAGCAAACCTGATCACCTGTTGGAATTCAGTGATTCTTGTTGATCAAAAACATTATCATCTGATGGCCATTTCTTTGGAGCTTGTGATCTACGTCATACTTGAATTTTTATTATTATGTTATTTCGAATTTTCTTCAGAACTGAAAAGTTTCAGTGGAAGCCTTAAAAGTGGGGTAGGCAGGATCTAAGAAAGTGCTACACTACCCTTTTCAACCATTTTTCCCCTCAGCTCCTCCTCTCCCCTCCCTCTCTGCTCCAACAAGCCCCGCCCACAAACAGACACTCCTGCTCACTTGTATCATTCCAATTAAATTCAGATATAATGCAGATAAATACTTTAGATACTTACAAATGGGGTCCAGTCAATGTGAAAGTAAAAAAGCATTGGTGCTACTGTAGATGCCAACAGACTACCAGCAAACACAATGTTCGCAGGACTTCTACAACTAGGATAAAGTGACATACTCCAGGACCCCAACAAGCAGCAGGTCCCGTTTGACAAGAAGGAAGGGGAGAACAGCTTTGTTTACAGTCAAAAAGAGCGGGACGCTCAAAATTTTTAAAATGTTGACTACACAGACATAACAAAACACAGTGATATTGTGATATTCCCAAATGTCATCAAGAACTAATAGCTATTGACTGATACTGAAAGCTTTTTTCTATATACACCACAAAAAAGATGCGTCTTTAACAGATTCCTGCCTACCCCACCTTTAAGACTCGTGTGGCCTTTTATTGTTGTAACATGGTGTTGTATTCCATGTAATGACTCCTTTCGCATAATGTGATTGGTCAAAGGGCGTGTCAAACTTTTGCTGTCAATGTTAAACAGCGTGGGTGCTGCTTCGTGACAGTTTGTGACAATGATGACAATATGACCTAATCGCATTTTACATCGGATGTCTACAAAGACATCTGTGTGTCACACAGTTGAAGCCGTGCTGCGACATGGAAACTAGTGTGACTGATCTGTTTATGCACAGCAGTAGCACACAGATGTTTCATTTTCTGTCGGGTGTTTGCAGGCATCTTGTATTCAGTGTTTTCTGTATTTGGAAAGGTCAAATTTCCATGCTTGCCTGATTCATGCATAACAAAGTAACACATAGTATCAGGGAAAATACCTAAATGCATTAAACACATCACACCTAATCTTGTATGAAGAGGATGAATCCAGTAAGTTGTCACACCTGTCACACAGCATTTCCTTTGAATCTGTTGATCTGTATTCTGTGTAAACCTGCAGATTGGGCTCATATGAAGCACAGCCATCCACAGTTGTGGTGCAGAGCATGCATATTCCATTCTGAGCACACAGCAGAGGTGTAAATGTATTTATTGTATATGACATTTTTGACAGGTGTTCACTGTAAGAAAATACAAATTTCATCAGCACATGTCAAAGATGCTGTATAACTGTCACCTGCTCTTGTGCTGCTGTTCCACTGAATGTCAGAATCACATGTTGTTTCTCTCAGAAATGGTACAGTATGATCATGAGCAACCAAAGTGAAAATAAAATAAAAAACTTATCAATTTAAGGAACAGTACAGTGATGTATGGGACCCCAATACTGTGGGCAAAGACTAGGCCTTTCTTTATTCAAAGCAGTAAGTAAAAAATAAAATGAACTTGCAAAATTAAAAGCGGAGATTTATAAAAGTGAACAGTGATAAACAGAGGCTCTGATGCTCTGTCACTGCTCAATACATAAAAACCAGATTATTGTACAAGAAAGTTTAACCTCAGCTCAGTAAACAATATTTCAGTTAACATTTTAATGACTCTCAAATGATTATTCTCTTATTTTAATACTCTGAAGGGTTTCTTTTTTGCAATAACAATTAAATGTATTTGCACTGAGTGATTGCCTCAACATAAACTTGTTTGAAATGTTGGAAACGGGGCAAGTGGAAAGTAGGGGCAGCTTTTAAGCAACCACATAAACAACAATGTTTTTTGGCTTCTGTTAATTAAATCAAACTAGATTTACTTCATAAAAGCATTGGTAAAAATTACTGTGTGACAAGTTTGGACATCAGGGAAGGATTGCAGAGATTACAAATAAGACTGGGAGCAAGAGTTGTCAGGAAAGAAGTATTTGTATCCTGTACACTGTGTTTTTCTTCATTTTATAAATTCAAAAGATTGGCAGGTTTCATCTGTGTGCTGCCTCACACACTGCCTGATGAGTCCACAGTGAGCTACAGCACAAATTTCCACGGAAACCAAGAAGCTGAGAGGAAACGACAGCTCATTTGAGAGGTAGGTAAAGACAGCTTTCTTACACTTTGATTTGAAGTCTGTTTTTTTCTGTCAACAAATACTGTTTTGAAATTAGATTATCATTTGATTTCAAGTAAATATATACTTTATACTTTAATCTAGGTTCATTGAACTTCACAAAACTACAGTAACAGTCAAAACTGGATCAAGAAAATACAATCAGTTACAATAAAATACTCTTAATCATGCATCAGTGGAATATTTGTGTATACATTCTTCAAAATGTTAAAATGTACCATAGACCAGTGTTTATAGTTGGAAAAAAAGGCCCTGGGACGATGTAAACATACAGCTTAAAGAAAGTCTTGTTTAAAGAAAGCACCCTTACAGCTAGTTTGCTTCCTGCTTCATATTTACAAAAATAAAAAAAGTGGATGAATGAGGGAACAACACAAACATGGCAGGATTTAGAAGAAGTGCAGAGCCCAGTCACCCTGTCTTTTTTGTTGACTTATAATTTGTTGCAGTTGACAAATGCAAATATGACCTGCTGTCTTCCTTTTGTTTTTTTGCAGTTATCACAACAATAAACAAGACGTGCCCAGAAAAGCACAGTACAGCCTGACCTGCAGAGGCAGAGTAACACATTTAGTTCTTCTGAGTCACTGGACATCTATGTTTGACCCCACAGTGCATTAATGAAGGCACCTAGGAGGGTTTCCCCTCCTGATATTAATTGTTGGACTGCAGCTAAACCCTGACTTGTCTGAAATGACTCATTCTAATCAACATTCAAGCAAGGCCACTCTGCCAGGGACATGCATGGCTTTTTTTTTTCTTTCTTTTCTTTTTTTTTTTTGCAGATACAGTAAACACTTTTTCTGGAAGTAATGACATATACTAACAGTGACCTTACCAGACAGGTGGAGCTACAATAAGTGAAATGTAAGACATTGTAAATGCAGATTGCATGTAATAACATGGCTGGGGTATCAATGTGCAACATGTAGTATGCCTGTGTGTGTATGTGTATGTGTATGTATGTGTGTGTGTGTGTCTGCTTTGAACCCCACTTTCTCTTCAGTGTCAGTTGTTTGCATTGGGCCCAGCACACCGAGACAGCACAAAATAGTAGCAACAAACAATACTGACAATGAGCCAACAACAAACGGATTCCATTCACATTTCAATGGAATAGCAATCAGGGTCACTGTAGCATGGCAGCCTCCCAGTGCCTGATCAAGACCTGCAAAATTAACAGACAACAAAAAGTCACTTTCCTCAGATGAAACTTCAATGCAATGAGAAAAACTGTTCACAATGAATGAAAAGGTTGTCAGTAAGTATTTACATAATTAAAACTGTTTATTGTGTATGTGTGTGTGTCTATTGACTGAAAACTTGAAAAAAAAGAGGTAAGGGCCAACATCTTTAGTTTAAAAACCACCCTATTCATATTCATACACATGAGTGTTCATGCATGTTAATATTCATGGCAGCTTTACTCTTGAAGGTAATTTAGTGACTTCAGACAGGATCAGAACCCCAACTGCCCCCCTGCGAAAAAATAAAAAAGGGACCACAGTGCACTGTGCAAAGTCAAGCTAAACTGTTGTTCTACCAGGACAATGTGATTCGGCATTGTCCTGCTCAGATGTGTAAGATCTCCCCAAACAATGGTGAAAGCTAGCATTTATGGTGAAAGCTAGACCATGGACACTTGTGCACCCTCATGCCATCACAGAAGCTGGGCTCTGAATTGTTTGTATGATAATAACATGCCAGCTGGTCCCTCTCCTCTTTGATGTGAAGGATGTGACATTCATGACTTGAAGAAAAAATGTCAAGTTTGGATTAATTAGGACACAGGACACTTTCCCACTATGCCTCTGTCCATCTTAAATGAGCGTGGGCTCATGTTTCTGGATCATGTTTACTAATGGTATTTTCTTTGCCTGGTGCCCATGCAGTGATTTCCACTTGAGGCCCGTAGATCACAGCCATCCAGTTTTGTTTTTGGCCTTGTCTCCCACTGTACAGAGATTTCTCCTGAATCTTTTTCTGGTTCATCTTAATGAAATTATGCACTTTAAATGGTGTAATCCTAAAATTCAAAGCAATTTTAAGCTGAAGACCATTATCCTAAAACTGATCAACTGTTTGCTCACACAGCCTCTCAGAGAGGTGGGCCTCTTCTGTCTTAAACCCTGAGAGCCTCATACTCTCTGGGTTTGCCTTTATTATTCCCAGATTTGTCCCTCAGAGTGTGTTTTAGCATTATACAAATTTTAAAGTATTTTGTCTCTCTCCAAACTTTGGAAATGCACATGACTATTTCATCTTTATATGCTGTCTTTAAACTAATAAGACTTAAAGGTAGAGTTGAAGTGAACCATCAGTATCTCATTATTATAGTACAAACTCCCAATTTTCTGGAAGTGGGTTTGTAAATCTTCCAGAGCTGCTTGTACTTCTTAAAGAGGACCATCATCAAGGTCAGCTGAGGTCACAAGTGTGGCTCAGGGATTTGTTGTCATCTTTGTAAATGTTCATGGCTTATTTTAAAATAATTCATGGAGTTAATTTTAAATGAAATCAACAATGTGCAAGGTGTATGTTCAAATCCATCCTGACCATCTATAGAAATGATTTTCCCCCCAAACTTTAATCTATCAAACATGTACAGAACAGCTGTAAAAAAAATCACTCATATATATCTTATTTAACCCCCCTAAGTTTTTCATCCTTTAATTTCTCTTTTGTATTTATGGCTGCTGTAAATTTGGAATTTCCCCCTGTGAACTGATAAAAGGAATATCTTACCTTATCTTATTTTTGATTGCAGCAAAATAAAGAAAAAAAGTTCATATTAGTGCCCTATTTTTTATTTTTTTTTTTAACTTTGTATGATCTCATTTTTAAGCTATCCTAAAATCTGTATAAGTTTGTGGTTCACAAAGACTAGTTTCTTAAATTTATCTTTAGTCCCTTATAATGCAGAAAATGTTTATCTGATGAAACCATATTAGTGTGGACATGATCATATGCATCTGCATGATATAAGTTGATTTATTTCCAAACAAAGATACTGTTTAAATATCATTTTACTGTTAAACCTTCTCATGTTATCCTTTTTGGGTTTGGCAGCTGTTGTATCAAGTTGTCATAAGGTGTAAAAATGTTTTGTTGTAATACAAATTGAGTTTGTGTCTCTCAGTATTGCTGGAACTATGAGAGACGAGCCAGAGCACTAGAACCTAATGATGCTTTACTCATGTATATCTATTCGCTATATGAAGGCCTTTTAGAGGATATGATAGCAGTTCTGAGTGCAGTGATACACTTCTTAATAGAGCTATTTAAAAAGTTCAACACCCTGAGATCTCCCTTTGAGGGAAAATATCAAAGTTTCAGAGGCTATTAATCTTAACTGGAGAATGAGAACCTCATTCATTATATCATCAAATATTTCAGCCAGGAACCCATTAAGTCCTCTAAGTAATTCAAAACACAGAGAGGCTCTTCATAAAACTGCACTAAGCTGCCACCCCGTCACGAGGTTCAGGGTAACTCAGTAGGAAAATGATTTACAGTTAGCTTTTCATTTTTTAAAAAGGACAATATGTGAAGATTTCCCAGGTTTCCCTGCATCAGGTTTGGAGAGCTTTGCAAATTAAATCCACACTGCCTCAGTATAATATTACAAGTCAGTGTTAAACCAGGTCATGAAAACTTGGACATCATGTCATACTTACTGTGCTATCTTGCAGTTAGTTGTTGTTACAAACCGTCCTGTATAGTGTATATTACATCTGACAACATTGTTGGTGAAGTCTGATTCCAGCACCAAGAACTTGGGATTCACCTGGAGCTGCGAGACAAAAAACACAGAGCAAATAATTCAGCAGAAACATCGGATTTAAATAGTGGGCTAAATAATGCTTTAGAGAGGATAAATCTTGGATTAATAACACAAAAGTGATAAAGTGTGCCTGTACAATAAAGAAAACTAATGTGAAATGTGTGCCACTGAGCCATGCAGTGTCGGGACCTTAAAGTTACTCCAGGTAACTCCAGAAAACTAAAACTTCAGAAACTTAATAACTATTTTATGACCAAGATCAATTTGTTTTGGTGACCTTGACCTCCCTGTACTTTCCTGGTACGTGAATCCTATTCTGTCCACAAACTGGCCGCATCCACGCACTTTCAATTCTCACTTGACTCTTACCTTTAGTATGTAGTTTCCAGGCTGGATGTCTGTGATATCGATCCACTGACAGTCAATATCAGCATTGTATGTATCGTAGCAGCCCGGACTCAAACCCTGGAGAGAGAGAAGGGAGGTGAGATGCTTACAGGAAACACAATCCGAGTCCGAAACAGACGAACATTAGCAGACGAGTCAATTAAATCCAGCTGTTGACTTAACAACTAACAAGAATCAGTTCACAGCTGACCGACGTTAACTTTCTGTTACATATTATCAGGTGTTAGGATCAGGCAACAGGAAATTGATATTTGTTGAGTGCTGATAAAGAAGGAGGTTTGCAAAGAATAATTCGACAGTCATGATACTTATTTGAAAATCATAATTTTTATGATACTTCGTTTTTTTTCTTTTGCTACCTGAGTGTGAGCGGTGCAGGCGTAGCGTTTCAGGTGACCGAAGTCACAGGTGGTGTCCTCCAAACAGAAACTGGCTTTGTGTCCCTCTGCAACTTTACGCCCAGTGCTGACGTCTATAAGATCATAATGGCTGAACTCATCCATGCTGTGGTAGTGCCTGGTGGGCAAAAAAAGCAGAAGACAGAAATGGTTAAAATGAAACGAACATTTTGATGTGGGTCAGATAGTTTAGATTCATTTCAGGAGGGTGTATTGTTGTGCCTGAGGAACTGTGTTTCAGCTGAGCTCACTGCAGATGTATCGGGTTCGTTAGTCTGCTATTAAAGTTATACAGAATACAAAGTTAATATGTGACTTCAAACACAGACAGTGAATTTATTGCATTGTGTGTACAGCCAGCTGACCTCTTATGTTCACGTCTTTGTAGTGATGCTGCACCTTGACTGAACACATCATAAAATATCAAAGGACAATGGACGCTAATTAACGGCCACAATAAAGTATTGTTGTAGCACAACATTAACACCCTAATGATGTATGAGTCTTGTTAATTAGCTTGTATCAGTCTGCAAGATCAGAGGTGTGTGTAAGCACATGTGCAGGATTGTGCGTGTTTATGTGTGAAGAGGTACGTGTTGTTATTTCAAGTCTTAGTGCACACATCAGTAACTGTGCGCGCGTGTCTGAGTGTGTGTGTTTATATCGCAGTGTTTTGGTTTTCCTGTGCTTGTTGCAGTGTGTTGTCGTGTTTGTTTGCACAGCTTTAGCAGCTTATGAAAGCTTGGGTGCGCATGGCCACTGATGATCACAACTGAACCCGAATATGAACCCGCTGCCTCTCACTGAGTGACTCGGTCAATGAGATGGTTCATTTGAAACCATCAGCAGAATAAACTGCGACATGTATTTGGCTTGGACCTCTCCCAAATGTCAAAGTGACCCGGGATGCTATTCCTTTTGTGCACCCACTGAGTAGCGACAACATAATTAGATGTTAATTAATAAAGCTCTATATCTGGCCTATTAATTTGGTGTTTTTATACACAGCACTGAAAGCAACAGCATAAAACACACCCCAGCTTAAACTCAAACCTCAACCATGTTCATGTTTTTCTCCTGGGTTGTTCAAGCATCCACACATGATTGACATTTATCTGATTAATTGTATGAAACTCTGACCTATGGGGTATTTTTGACAATTTTTTTTTTTTTTTAGCACATAAAAAGTGCTGGGAATTAGTTTTATTTTTTTGCTATTTGGTTTTAAAACCACGTCATGCACACTGGATATTGCTGTTAGATTTCAGGACATGACATCATTAAACACATGCACAAGTACAGTATTTTTTCAGCATCATTCACGTTTGGTTAAGGACGACAGCAAAGTTCCCATCGTGTTGGAAATTTTCCACGTAATGTAAGTAATGTAAGTATTTACATCTATTTGAAACTCTCTCCCTCAAGAACTGAGGACTGTGGACACATTTTTAAAAAGCGGTTGAATACCCATTTGTTTGCACTTGCCTTTGTATAACCAGGACTTTGGCTACTGGTGTACTTTTTGTTGATTTTTATGTCTTGATGTCTCACCCTTTTTAATTCGATGACTGTGTAGCACTTTGTGACAACTGTTCCAGTAAGGTGCTTTACAAATAAAGTTTAGGATAATTATTATTATTTGATTTTAATTAAATTATTACATTTCTAGAATTTGTTTATTCAAATTTCTTAAAATCAGCATAAATCTGTTATTCTGAAAACAATCAAATTTAATTAGTTAAAATGTATGAATGCAGTTTAAATATGATGAGCTGTTGATCAACCAAGATTCTTTTAGTTAGTAACAAATTGGAGTTATCAATGGTGAATACATAAATATTCATTATTTATTCTAAACACATTGGGTTTATTGATATTATTACATAAATCTAATTCTTAATTGTATTATTTAGATTCCACTGACAAAATGCAGAACATAAAGTTTATTGGCCAGTTTAAGTTAAATTTAAGTAATTCAAATAGATGGAAATTTTCCAATGAGGCCAAAATATTTCTGTGAGTGTGCGACATCTGTAATGGGTTTGGACATTTTAATTAGTTTTTATGGAATTTGTTTAGTTAAGTTTTTTTTTTAAGATTGTTTTTTTCAGGCTGGTTTTTAGTTGAGTTCAGGTTTTTTTAAACACTTAGTTTTGATGTAGTTGGAATTAGTTTCAGTGTTAGTTTTATTTTTTGTAACATGGGATACTTGTTAGGGGGCAAGACCTCACAAATTTAAGACTGTGTAGAAAAAAAACCTCATCTTATCTGGCTGTGTTGTGGTAATATTTGCAGATAAAACAATAATGTTGTTTATTGGTGTTTTCAACAAGAATTTTTTTAAAGTGCAAATCATGCAAAGCTAGCCGACACGTGTCCCAGATAGACAGGCTGGTGCAGTCTATGAGGGGTCAGACCTGACTTAGTTGGCATAGCTTCTTGACCCGAAGATGTGCAATATAGTATCATTCAGTGCTTAAAGCACCACCTCTGACAGTCAGGAGTAACCAAACAGAACAACAGTTCTCATAAGTGAAGCCAGAGCTTTTAGAGCACCTCCTGGTGAATGGCTGCAGTATAGGTCATAAAGCCCTCCCTCTCCTCCCATTATAAAATTCATTTATCAGAAAAGTTCAGTTTCAATTAGGAAATTGGTGTTAAACTGATGATTAACCTGTTGTCAAATGCGGCCCCTGCGATTTATGTATTTCAGATTAACAAAATAGAAGATGAATGGCAACAGAAACTGCTGTGTCCACTGATACAAGAGTTACTGAACTTGAAAGACATTACCCATGAGTCCCTGCTTCTGCTCTGACTGTACTGATCTAAGGAAACTCTGCCCTGTTATCATCGAGTCATTATAGCAAAACACACAAGGGATATAAAAGCCATGAAGCAGCAGGAGTACTGTCATCCTAGTGTCATTATGTGTTTAACTTTTGAATCTTAAGTTGCCACTTAAACAGTGTTGACTTAAGCTGTTACAGCAGGTGAGGTAAGCACCGGATCCCTTACAGTCAGACAAAGTCAGACTTTATAAATGTGGCCCTTTAGTCTTACTTCATGGCCAGTGTGTCTCAACACTACTACAGCTTTTACTGGAACAGTCATTAAAGATTGAGGGATGACTTGGAGGGAATAGTGGGTACTTTCCACTGTCGGAGCAAGTGACCATGCAAAGTCTCATTCTTTCCATTTGAGAGGCAATCAATTACGAGCTCCTCTCAGGTTAAAAGAAGTCTGCTTTACCTGACACTGAACAACTTGTTATTATGCCTGTGAGTAAAGATACTGTCTCAGCTCACATGCTGATGCACATGTTAATAGGCATTTGTGCAACACTTGAAAGTGTTTACTGTCACGTGTGTGTATAAAGCAGGGAGGGGAGTGAAGGGCTCGTTGAAGGGCTGAAACACAGTCTTTGTTTGTGTTCCTGAGACTGGCATTCATTTCGTAGGCAGTCTTGAGATGATTATCTATAATATGTGTGTCTATGTGTTTGTGTGCGTGAGTGTGTATGTGAAATTGAAAGTAACAGTGCGGGAAGCAAAGAAAAAAGGTTTGAGTGTGCCAGTAAGTGTCCCCTGCCTCCTTGGATCCCCTCACTGACTATGTCACCTACAGAGAATGTGGTGTTGGAGGGACGAATAGAGTATTTTACAAGAATAACTTGAGTTCGTAATATACAAAGCATTTCAGTCCTGCTTCATAGCTTTGAGTCATTTTCCACTTGTGCAGCAACAGGACTTTGAGGAGCTCTTAAATCACAGCCTCGGTTGTAAAACCTGAAGCACCACAGTCGGTTCTTTGAAAACTATTAAGCTGTGGCCTGACATTTGCCTTTCACACGGTACAACCAGGATATGAAGATAAATGCTCAAGTGGCTGCATAAATAGCAGTCATGATCTTTGACCACAAAGGTTAAGTTAATAAAGCTCAAACATAAGTTGGAAAAACAAAGCACAAGTTGAAAAGAGTCCAAATAAACTGCATATTCAAATCACTACCTCTTGTTTCTAGAACTGAGAGGCAAAGAAAGGTCCCACTTGGAAATCTGTGTCCTCATTTGTGTAAAAAATGTAGAAAATTCCAACATTTTCACAGCCTGGAAGACTCCAGAGACTGCAGTCCCCTTTCCTTCCAACACTCCAGTGAGAAAGATAAGGGTGAATGTGGTGAAGAGCAAAATTGTCAACTTCACAGCTTATCCAACAAAAATGTAGGGCAGGAAAAGTTTATGGTGGGAATCTGGGTAGGAGATTTTCTTCCCCTTCAGAGATTTCTTTGTTAACAAACACCCTGTCCCAGTAACCCATATCCATGCCATCATACTTTAGCAGCCCTGTTATCTGGTGTCAGATTGACAAGAAAAATGGATTGATTTGTCATTCTGATCACACAGTCTGAGGAATGATTGCCTTGGCTTTGTGCCTCCTGGGAACCACAGTGTAAAGGCAGACTGATGTCAGACAGCAACAACACTGCCAATCTCCAAACAGCCAGTCAACATTCCTGTAAGATGAGGGCAGTAAAGCAGAGCTTGGCACTCATACCAGAGGGTGGACTTGCTAAAACTGAGGTAAAAGTGCGTCTATGTGTAATATAATGCCATAAAACAACGAAGACACCGCAAAAATCACCTCATCGGTAGTCTCAAAAAGATGATCAGTCCGACCCTTACTCAGTGTATTGATCATGGGCTAAGATTCTTGTTCAATGTAACACCTTAAGGGAGTGAATGGATGCAAATCACTGATCTGTGCTTTGTGATTTCCATCTCTGACTGTAAAAACTGAGTCAAACATGACCACATGAAGATGTTTATTAAGGGTCATGGTTGTGTCCCAGTTGGGAATACTTTCAGTGAACCATCAATGCTTTCTTGCTCTTTCCAATAATTCTAAGTAAATTTTGGCTTCTTGTGAGGATCAATAGGTTTGCGTCAGTTTTGGCAGCTCCATATCTCTTTGCCTACTCTGTCCTGCTTGATCAAGAAGTGTATTCAGTTTAAAAAGGAGACCTCCCCCTGTGTTTAATTTTAGGAGCCAGTTGTATCATTCATTATGAACCTCTGCTGTGGAAAATGTCATTGAAGGCGTTCTTTGCAGGGTGCTGTAACCCTCTTTTATCTCACACCTTTCTCTCTGCAGTAATTATGAATGTCGTTAACGACCATAAGGACGTATTTATTCTGTTGCAGATGAACTTGTTTGCTTTTGTGGGTCATAAAGATGTGTCAGTCAGTGGGTTTACATGCTCAGCTTAATCGCTTCACCGATATGGGTCTTTTCAGCGGTTGATGCCATACAACTGTCAACAACAACAGCAGGTCCGTGCCAGATGTCAGAAGTGGCTACAACTGCTGCTGGGCATTTTTGAGCAAGAAGATGGAGCATCGTACTGTGTTGTTTTTGTCGTACACGATGTATGCGCTACATTTTCTGCAGATGAGATGCACGCTACTCCTCTTCTCTGGTGTTTTTGTTTTGGGGTTACGGGTCGAGGCGCATGCACACGTGCATTGTCCAATTCTACTCTGACTACACTGGTTACATGGTAGAGAAAATCGAACTCCAGCTGCAATATCTGGATGTCTTAATCAGAGTTCCCCGACTCCAAACTCTGATTACAGTCGGACTCAGGTGTTTGCATGCACTTCAGTTTCCAGGTCTTAATCAGAGTAAGGCAAGAATTCATTTTTGTCAAATGCCATGTAAATGTACTGAGTGTTCACTTCAGCTCATTTGATAACCAGCTGAAATCTCTTCACAGGAGCTTTAAAGACACTCTAAATTCCATTTTTAAGTAAATTTTTAGCCTTTTTAGCTTTTAGCCACAAAACAGTGAAAGAGTACAAACTGGAAAAGAGTGGGTAATGACATGGGATCAGAGCTGAGATTGAATCCGGGCCTTTTCATCGTCATCTTTGTTGCATCAGACCATATTCAATTCAACCTTTTTTTTTTAACTATCTTTTTTTCACAAATCTATCAATAATAACCGCTGGATCAAGAATTTGACAAGTTTTAGAACAAACCATCAGATCAGATCTCACCTCAAAAAGCCTGTCAGTCCATTTTTATCATGTTGCAATAACCTTACATCACAGTTTAAGTGATAAATATTTACTATCCTCTGTGAAAAGTACCGAGGCACATACATAAGACCACTTTCTAGGAATAAAATCAGACTGACACAGTGTTAGGTCACCAGCTCCGTGCTTTTCACCATGTTTTCAGTGAAGAATAACTTACTGTTTGGGTCAAATCTGTGTTGGATTAAGCACTTACTGATGACAGCTGTGCCACTCCCAGGTATGACGCGGCCTGTTAGGCATGAAGTCTGCAGTCCCCTTGTTCTTCACCCTCTGTGGGAATCGCAGTAGGACCCTTACATCATAGTCAGTGGTCTCAGGGCTATAGGCAGAGCTGAATGGCAAACACATACATCAGGACAGCGAACAGAGAGGGAAACTGTAAAGAGAATGTAGGAATGTGTTTCTCATATCTAAGACAAGGAAAAGAAAGAAGCAGAGGACTGAAAAGGCTTGGAGGCAGGAGCACATCTACTAAATAATTCAACCTACAGATTACAACCGGCTCTCCAAATATACAGTTTAAACACGGGAAGGGGAACATTCAGCGGCACGATTTCCTTTCCGACAGAACCTGGAGTTCACACTACCGCTGAGGATGTAAGCCATTTGTCTTGTGGCTGTTGTTGACAATGGAGTGTACCACAAATTACAACAGGCCATCTGTCGGTGATTGCTGCAAACTCTGACAGGATATGAAAGGGATTTGGGGGATGGATGGGCTTGTGATGGGAAGAGGGCGAAAGAGCAGCCATGGGGACTGCACACTTCCATCATTTCAATAGTGTCCTTAGTGCACAGGCAGTCAAAGGGTCCGGGCCTGGGGCTCAGGGGATGCTAGATCCAACAGCACGGGGAAATGAAACTAACGATAGCCCGAATCCCCCAAGGTGACCGTGATTTAGTTCATTTGTGTTTTGCCGTGGGTCCGTTTTTTCCATCGTAGGCTTCAGATATAGTTGCAAAGAACTGGTGATTTCCTCAAGGCTGTCTCACGTTGTGGATAGTTCACTTGCCGGTTAATGTTACCCAAAGGTGACGCCATCTATAAAAGGTGTTTATCTTCTTTTCATATGAACATTGAATTGCTGTCAATGCATAGGATAAAGCAGAGCAGGACCCCAACCCATCAGAGAGTGACACTAAGATACTGAATGATGATCTTATTTTGCAGTTTACTTCAATCAAACATCTTGTGTGTCCTTACTACTAAAAAGCAAATCTTTTAAGATGCAACAGAAATAATTAACATGAGAATTTATCAGTAAAATTAAAAAATCATATTAGTAACAGAATCCAGGGGAAACAAATGTGTCTGATACTGTGACATTGTTTTGTAATAAACCTACAAAAAAGTATATTAAAAAACAAATTAAGATAAGGAAGAAAGAACGAGTGGAGGTCATGCAAAACTAGTTTACCTTGAGAGACATTTTTCCTCAGCAGCACAGCGGAGAGAGTACATGTGGGCTCTTTGGATATATGTGGAAGCTTGGACATAGTTGGGATCAGGAACCAGGTCAGGCAAACCTGGAATAAATAAATGATTACTTAACCATCATATTCAGTCATCCACTTTAAATAGCACACGACCTTGTTTGGAGAACAAACAGTGATGTTCTCATACACTTTTTACCAAACAGTTAAGAAACAGATGCGCTAGGAGACACCATATTAGAAAAAGTCAAAATTTTAGCATAGGGATGTCCACCTCATGATTGTCGTGTCCATAAAACACCATGATTATGATATTATTGCAATATTTCTTATAAAACCTCGTAAATAACTCATTCATCAAAATTGAGGAAAGGTGAGACAAGAGCAGAGAAGACATTGCCTCAGAATTTTACCAATAAAAATGGTAAACTTACAGAAAACCATCCTTTTCTATTGAAGTTGAGACTTACGATTTATCCACATCATCATCCCGGTGACTGGGCTGTGACCAAAACTTGTTTGAAGAAGACATGACCTCATAAACCATTGTCATATTTTATTTTGATTTTTTTCTGTCCTATGTTAAGGTTGCTTTATGACCGATATGGTTTAACCAACATACAAGTTCACTTCTTCCGGTGGATCTTAAGTGACAAAACTGAATGAAAATGGTTGAAAAAAAAGGTCTAAGTATACATGTTATTTGATGTAACCCTGATGTTATTTTTGTATTCACAGTAAATCTTTGTATGCCGGTTTCCAAGAGTGTTAAATACTAGCTCACTAGCAGCTGCTTCTTCACCATCATCTGTCTTTGGTTTTTTGTGACGTGTACCATCCAGTGTGAAGGACTGTAAACAATAAACTCACTGTATACTGCATGATAATTCTAAGCACGACTTCAAGTTTTCATTTTATCCCCCCAAAAAGAGTTATTGTCAACACCAACATATCTGGACTGCCCCAATTTAGCTCTACCACTGTGATTTCATGTAGTAATCCAAACTTCAGTGGTTGTGTCTGTCCCACTTTTTGATTTCTTTGAATTCAAACTCTGTGTGTCAGAAACTTTTTCACATGTATAAACAATCTTATTCATGATGGTGCTGATGGACTACAGGCAACAGGCAACAGTGCTCACGTTTACAAAAGTGTCACTCTCTCAAGAGCTGTTGCTCACTAATACTGTGCATACCAGATTATTATCCTGCTCTCCCGATCTCCCATCCTCCCCTTTAAACAGGGTGAGGGGCTACATTTGGACCTCCCACATTGTAAGAATCCAAACCACATTTGAAATACATCAAGTCCATTTGTTCGAATAAACAAAATCCATCTTGTCACTGAAGAAATACTCTAGCCCAATAATGAGTGGCCTTATTACCTAATGTGATGTGATCTTGACTGACACTAATCTTGATATGAATGTGCCACTTCAACTAAACCTTTAACACGGTGAACATAGTATGACTCGTCATATCTTTTGGAAGGAGGGCTAAACTCAGAAATATCTAAGCTGAAGTATCACAGGGAGGCAGTCTCTGTTTCTCATGTTTTGCTTTCTGCAAGCGAGTATCAGAGATGAAGAGATGTAGGGAGGCAAAGGTGCACAGATATACAATAGGAGACCCAGACAGAGACATGCACGGAGAAGTAGAACGTGCTTGCCAGGGTAAAACAACAGTGATCTCACACCGCTGCTATTTTTAAAGTAGGCCACTGACCAAATCTGTCAGAAAATTCAAGGAACAAGGAAAAAAGGCAGGCCTTACTTGTCAGATTGAATGTCTTATCACTCCTCCTGGTTAGCGCACAAAGACCAGACATGCTTTAATATGTGCTTGTTCAAGCAAATGAAAGTCAAACCATCTGACTTCTAAGCCTGGGAACTTTCATTAAATCACAAAAATGATGTACAACCCATAAGTTCTGTTGCGTCGAGCTTAAACCGAGGACTAGAAAAACAGATGATGAAATACTGAACTGTTATCTTTAGATTTTGGACTAGCACAAAGGGTTTTGGTTTTAGTTTATTTATGGAAACCAGATCAAAGTTCCCTGCTTTATATTTCACATTGTATCACTTCCAGGTGAGTCTCCTCAGAGCTGCAAGTTTAAATACACGCTCTGCCTTTGGGGGCATCATGTAAACATCCCATCTGACAGCTCTCTCTCACTGAGGCAGGCGTATGAGACCGGGAAACTTCCTGAGGCAGATCATGTAAACACAGTAAGAGCAGTGTGAAATGTAGAGGTTTTCCAACAGCTCTCACAACCCCACTTTTCCTTCTCACCCCAGGAAGGCTTTGTTCTCTGTCCCCTAATCTTTTGAAATGTGAAATTGGGTCTCCTTCAGTGGGATAAAGTGTATTCAGAAGCCAAAGCTGATCAGCTCTCGACAGCATGTGACAAAGCCACACATTACACTCGAAGTGGGGCACAGAGAAAAGGAAACTGAATCTTGCAATGTGTTTTATACCATCTAATATAGCAGGGTAAAAGACATGAGGGTGGCTGTGTAGTTACTCCTGCTTTTATCTGCAAAAGACTCAATGATTAGACAACTTGAAATTCATGGAGGTCATTCAAAATGACTCATTATCTGCATTTTATCAGGTATTTAAACCCCCTGAAGTGTCTTTTATTGCATCACATCTTTATTTATGATTATTAACATTATAGATATATGGTCAGCTGTTATAATGCTAACTGATTTGAATATAAAGGGCAAAAAGGACAGTTTGAATACGATGACACACCTTTGTCTTGGTGTAATAACTGGTTTTCTGGTCTTTAGTTGGGCCTTGAAGTTCCACATTATTTTGGGAATATTTGATAGGAAAGCTAAAGAGAGACGGGCAGTGTAGGAAGCATGTGGAAAATGACATACAGCAAAGAGTCACAGCAGAAGGACAAACCAGTAACCCATCATTGGTTGCAAGCCTTAACTGCTCAATTGAACCCTGCACCCCATAGTGTAGATTTGTCTAAACTGTCTTATGCCACCAGAAAACTTCTCCATTTTGCAGACATGACAAAATGATTTTTTTTTCTTTAATGTAGCATACAGCAATAGGGTGACCATATTCTGAATCCCCCCCTAAAAAGGGCACGACTACACAGCGGCAGAGTCACAGAGTTGAGTGTAGTTAATTTTGAGAGTTTTCCAGGTCGAATCGAGTGGTTTTTTACGCGCTTCTAACTCAGTAAGTCCACGTGACACAAACTCAAAACTTCTATACAAAACCCTTGACATTTTAAGGATTTGACAAGGCCGGACAGGCCAGACAGCCCCCTAAAAGAGGACATGTCCAGGTAAAAGAGGACGTATGGTCACCCTATGTAGTAAGGCTTACAGAGGGTGCAAAATAGAAAATATAGCAAAATGCCATCCTTGTAGTTTTGGTTGTGCATCAAACTTAACATACTTTCTGCAAGAACTTTGTTAAACCATTTGAAACTAAAAGCACGGACTGGAGATTTTCTGCTTTAAACACTGTGAACTGAGTGATTGTTGTTGTTTTTTTACACTTCAGTTGCTGATGGTTGAACCTGGCATCTTGTCCACTCATGCTAACCCTGCCTTAAGCTATTTATGCAAAGATGTGTTTTGGTGCATTGCCCATAGTCAGCCAGCTAAATTTATTTGTATTATCTAATGAGCAGCCAAGCCACTGAAAATTGTGTTTATGCAAACCATTAGCTGCTCCTATATGTCTCACTGCTCCTGGTATAACACAACTTGCCTTTCAAAAATCATAATGGTTATTCTGGTAGTGTAACAACAGCTTTATGCAGTTCTTTGAAGCAGGGAAATAAAAACGTCAACTTTCTACAGTTCCCAAAGATTTAATCTTTAACACAACGATTACTGGGAGCCCTTAGGCATCTGCACACATGTTGCCTTTTTGTTTTTAAAACTGCTCACAGCTCTGCAGTGTACAATAAATTAAGTTTCAAGATGCTGCGAAAGTTAGGAATATTATGAAGTAAAAACATTGTAAATCTAGATACTGAAATCCAGAGAATCTTGTTTGAGGTACTGGCTGTCTCCTTGATCAAACTCTGAACTTTTTCTGGCAGTCTGAACAGAGAAAAACTTCACAGTCTGTTCGGATTTTTACTGTAAGAAACTTATTTTCTTTTGGATCAATGACAGGCAGAGAAAATAAATTGCCATAGATTTTAAGAAACTGTTGGCAAATTAAAGAGATCTTTTTTCAAGGGGAGGTATCACATATTTTGACATTCCTCACTCTTCCCTCCAGAGCTCTGAGTAAATATTTCTTTGATTTCCTGTAGCTTAAGCAATGGACCCCATGTGTTAGAGGGACTTTCCACACTCTCCCTCCCCCTCAGAGAGTAGTGAAGTACTGTATCCCCCTCCTTTGTTTCCTCTCTCCTGTCCTCATGCTCAGGAGCCAGCCATGGCCCACCAACACCCCTCATGTCTGCAGCCCCTCTATGAGGTCACCCGCACCATTACCAAACACAGCACGCCTCGTGAACCAGTCCTCTGTCATATAGCAGAGAACTCCCCACAAAACACAGAGGTTTCTGTGTGCTCTCTGCGCGTTGGCAGGGCTCGCTCCACACCTGGTTTCAATAACCAGACAAGTGGGAAAAGATGAATCTTGTGTCCACTTTGCTTTGTTTGTAAACTGAAAAAGAGGCTGGATTTGTACCAGCTGTTTCACTCGGATTACCTCAGATATCTGATAAACATAAGAAAAAAGGGATACTGGAAAATATGATGGTAATTAATGTTCCCGAGGGGCTGGTGTGCATATTTTAAATTCACATGTCCAGCAGTAACAGAAATCTCATGGCAAGCTTTCAGTTTTCTGCATCAAAGACAAAAACTTTGGACAAAAGCCCATGCGTGAACATGCTCCACATCTGAATCTATTGTTGTTCCACACATGTGTCGCAGCTTATCATGATTTCCAAGATCTGGGTTAACTTCCTGAACAAGCAAAGGATTAAAGAAAACCTGGTGCAAGTTCACAAAACCCAAACAAAAAGCTTACTGTACCTCTTTGTTCTGGTCGGTACACACTCCCGACACTCACACTGGGGTTTTCAATGGCAGAGTTTGGAGAATTTCTGACTGGAGGAATGGGCTGAAGAAAGGGTGGCTGAGGTCTTCCAAATGGAGGGAATTGTTCGTACTGTGGGCTCCTGACTGGTGGTTGACCAGCAGGTCCTGACCTGTCCACGATCACAGGTGCACGTTGGTTGGGATCGGGAGCGGGGACAGCGGGAGCAGAGTCCTCGTTGAAGAGGCTGTGGGTGTATCTGTGGTCCAGACCATCTGTGAATGGTGGTTGGGCGGCACGTGCTGGAACCACAGGATTGGGCCCATAGCCATAAGACTGGTAGTAGCGGTAGCCGTCGTCTGTAAAATCAGAGGGAGAACCTGGGAGGACTGGAGGCACTCCGCCGATATACCCTCCCCCTGTGTACCCTTGTCCAGGTACAAATCCTCCACCACCATATCCTCCACCAACTACAGGCTGAAAAGGTGGTTCATAGCTCCTGACTGGTCCTTCTACAAAACTAGGGTCATAAGGCACAGGTTGGTAGGGAGGCTGTTGTGGAAATGCACTCTGTGGGTAGGACGGAATATTATAAGAAGATGAAGAAAAGGATGAAGATGATGACGATGAAGAGGACGAGCCTGTTGATGGTCTGAAGTGAGCACTAGTAGATCCTTGGAACTGGCCTCCGCCTGTGCTGCCTGCTGTCTGCCTCCAGTTATCAGGCACTTGCCCAAAGCCAAAAGGATGCCTTGCCTGCCCGCGAACAGTCTCAGAAGATCCTCTTGATGGAGCCTGCCGGCGCACATTTCCTCCTTGAGGTCTACGAGAAGAGCGTGAACGAGTATCTGCCACAACCACCCTGGGACCTCTGTCCTGTGCCCCTGCCCCGGCTGGGACATACTCAGCTCCACTGTTCAGCAAGCTAAACACTCGTCCATTGTTCTCCCACTGGATCACCTGCCTCCAAGGAGTGGCTGAAGCATCCTGCCCCTGGCCTCGTCTCTGGCTCTGCCCCTGAGTCTGTGTAGCATCCTGAGCCTTACCCGAGCTGAGCAGGAGAAATACCAAACATGCCACAAAAATAGGCAGCATCCTGGCTCTGAAGACTCACCACACAGGAAAAAAAGAAACCTTCCCAGTCCACCAGCAGCTCAAACTCAAACCACCTGTAGCTCTGTCAATAAAACATGTGTGTCTCCTTCCTCTGGGTACAGCTTTGGAGTGAGTGTTGAGGCAGATGCAGGGTTGAAAAGTAAACCCGGGGATAAGTGCATCTGAAGGTCTCCACTTCCAGTGGTAGAGGAGAGTAAATGTGCATACAGGAGTAATCACACTAGAGAGAGCGTAAGTGGGCTTAGGGAGACCCACAGGTAATGTTACCGTCTGTTATTGCTTTGAAAGTATGTCCTGACTTCTCGTCGGTCTTCTGACTCGCCTGTCAGTAAACTGAGCATTGCTTCCTGCTTTCTGGAGAGAAGTGCCTGTGCACTGTACGACTGCACGCTTCTATTTGCCTGATTGCTTGCAAAAGACTGTGAAGAAATCTCTAACTTTTTTCGAAGGCGATTTCCCACATGGCCCTAGTGCTAGTGATGTTTCCTGGCCTGCTGCAGCCGGGGCTCCAAGAGGCTTCCAGAGTAAACATTACCATCTGCAAAGGCATTCAGACATGTAACACTTCTCACATCCAAAAGCTTGAATCCTGTTCTCATATTCTACAAGCGAACGTAGGGACGACATGACCTTGATTTTTCTGCAGGTGTTTCAAAGGCTAGTTTTATAGTTGTTTGCCCTTGACCCTGGATTAAATATAGGACATATATTTGCAGATGGGAAAGCGCTAAATGAAAAAAGGAAGAGTGATGCAATCATGGTTGTAAATAATAGGTCACTTCAAAATGAATCGTATGGTAAGTGAACATTTTCCTGTAGATGAAACATCATTATGAGCAGCTCAGTGATTCGTTAAATTGTGATATGACCTTATGTGAATGGCTCGATGCTGCCACTTTTACTCAATCCTCTGTTTACATGTTGGATACATGTAGAAATTTGTTTTTGTGCACCCCACCCCGAGGAAAATCAAACTGAGGTCAACTGGGAGAATGTTCGAAACCCTCCTCCCACTAAACGCACGCAAATGAACTCTCCACCCCTCATTCCCCCGGCTGCTTGTAGTACACTGAATGCACAAAAGACATGCATACATGCAGAGCTCCCCAAGACAACACTGTGTGTGCTGTTGTCTGGGAACTATCAAAGCCGTGTTGCACTCTGAGACCTCCATTTACACAAATGTTCTGAGGAACAAGTCATTAGTTAACACGTTCATGTGGGATTTGAAACAGCCTGATTAGCGCTTTCATTCATAGAGTGCGTGCAGACAGAATTTAACATCCGCTTGTTATCAAAAGCTGCAGTTTACACAGCGTTTTCTTTGCAAGGATTTTACAGGCTATGGCCAAAATGTGGCTTCGACTAAGTAAGAAAGACTTTTATTCCAGGGATGTAGCAGTAAAATCCACCTTTTGAACAAGATCCAGAAGATCAGATGAAAGGAAGTTGATTTCAATTTAAGTTCTTTTTTTTACAAACAGGCTGCAAAGACAATCTTGTTTAAGCTAAAAGGCTCAAGGAAAGTTTCTAGTCATACTAATGTAATAAAGGGCATTTGTACATTGTACATTAAAAAAACCGTACGCAGCAGCAAGACATGAGTGATATAATGACCCAAAAACACAAAAAGCTAGCTTATTCATGTGGATCGAACATGCTTAGAAGCCTCATATTGTATTTCTGCAAGTAGTTTTCTGTGCACTGGCAATATCTTGTAATAGTGTTACAGAAAAACGCCTGAAATGTATCCCAGATTTCATTTTCTGTGCATGATGAAACTACTATCATTTCTTAAGTCTACAAGATCCCTTCTATGATCGCGTTTCCTCTTTTTATACATTTTTGAACGAGTCTCTCTGTGTGTGGAGGTATTTTTATTCTAGTACTTTGTGAGGAGATTTTACTTCAAAGGAAAACAAAATAGAAAAATTCCTTACAGAATGACCGTGCCAGATTTTTCTGTTTCCCCTGTCTCTCATTGTTCTTGTGCTTTGTAAGGAAGTGTTTCTTTTTATCTTTAGATCAGCCATTCTTTGTCTATCAGTCTTGGTTGCTTTTGTCATATTAGGTTGGCAAGACTTTTTTAATTACAGATTGATCTTGGGGGAATTTTCTGAGCGAGGCAAACTGCTGCATTCAAGAGGCCGACCGACTCAGAGCCCCAGACTGACTTGAAATCCTGTCACTGACACATTCCACAGAGATTAGTCTAAGTTGTGCAGCAAGGTTAGTTGTTTTTGTGTGACTGCTGTGTGTGTCTCCTGTGTGCTGGAAACACCTTGTACCCTGTGAAGTTCAGTCAAAGAACGCATTGATCTGAGTGACTATGCAGCACAGAAGGAAAGCCCAGGGAGGAGGCATCCTGCAGAGAGCAACCTTCAGCTGCACAGAATCACAGCTAGAGATGCTCTCATATACTTAGAACTGCGTGCACGCTCTTAGTCAGTGTAAATAGTCTCTTATGTGATGTTTAAATAAACCTGTCAGTGCTTAAACCTGGAATTCTTTTGAATCTGTATAAAATTTCAACCAAAACTGATGTGTTTGAACCAAAAATGTGTTCTACTTCTGTGCTCCATAAGGAAAAATGTAGTTTTGAATCCAATTTAACTGATTAAACCGTTGCTTAAAAAAAGGGATAATAAAACAGTTTTTTATTTCATACTGACAAAGGTTTTTAACACAAAGACGTTTTCTTTTTTAATCAGAAATGACTCACGTTCATTTCTATTAAACATGATTCCTCCTCACCATGGAAACAAGTTCTGCTCAGTGCAAATTTCATGCTAATTTTGACAGCTGACAACAAAATATCCCATAAAAAAGGAGAGATTCAATAATTATGGGAGGGAAATCGCTCTCCCAAGACAAAAAAAATAATAATAATCGTTAAACTTGCAGCTGTCAGATGTTGCAAGAGTCGGATTTTGCAATATACTTGTATACTGATCCTTTCTTATTCGAAGGGGAATTTGTCTGATACCCAAATGAAAGAAAGATGAAGAACATAGAGACACGCAGCAGAAGTAATAAAGTCTGCCTGGGTAGGGCGGCTCTTATCCTGCGTACATGTCAAACACATCCTGCAATTGTTTCAAAGGATTAAGAGAAGGGCACAGAGCAGCTATGGTTCAGCAAATGTGTTGTTCAAAAACGTGACTTATATGATGGCGAAATTTGTGTATTCAGTGTCTGACATGGTGATAAACCACTTCCTGAAGTCAGTAAAGAATTCGACACATTCAGCATTTTGTTTTCCTGCAGCCTTCCTCTCCATCTGTAATCGGCAGCAGAAACATTAAAAAGATTGCTGCGGCTGCATTTTCTGTGGAACATTTCCAACTATTTTGCAAAGATTTTCTGGGGAGGGTCATGCTGAGGATTATTTTTATGATTATTAAATTTAAATGCTAGAGAATGTGTCTAGATTGTCTTGGAGCGATGATTTGATTTGTATTGTGGGTATTAAAATAGGTCAGTTAAATTATTCAGACACTGCTGCAGCAAAATGAGTTTAACAGAGCGTTTAAAGGAGTACTGTGGCAGACATCTGGTCTGCTGAATTACAGCTTTGTAGCAAAGTAAAACGAAATACATGGGCACAAATACAACAACATGAACCCTGAGTAAGATTGAATTTTGTGATCTAACAGACTTAAAGTGAGGATCCAATACAAAACCATAAACTGTGCTGGTAGTTTGATTCTGTAATACCTGTAGACTGAAGAGGAACTCGTCAGATCCTGTGTCTTTCATCTGCTTAACTCTAATACTCAGTAATTACTTTCATTCACAGTCCTAACTTCCATTTCCCCATCGCTGACACAACAGCTGAGGTTGGCGGTTGCAGGCACATTTGGTCATACCGGTAGAGCAGTCAGCCTTTGAAGTACCCACCTGCTTTCCATTAATTTCATCTTCATTCAAGGAGTGTAATCAGGCACCTGTACTCTGTTCTTGGCCGAGTGTCAGACACCACAAAACTGAGACCATAAAAATACCTTCAATCATAGGGTAGTTTCAATAATCCTCTACGCACAACATCAAAACTGAACTTGATGAGAAAAGCTATTATTTACCTTGTCTTCTGCCGCACAGTGTAATTTTTTTTCCTAAAGCGTATTTGTGATGCCTCAAAATGTGATTACACAGCAACAGGACTCTAATATGAGGTCTTAAGTGCATGCTGCGAATGTGTGTAATGACTTAAGTTCAACATTATAAGACACAGTAAAAGCTAACAAGCCTGCAGCTGAAACGATTAGGATCCTGTTAGACAACACCATTTGCTTCATGGTACACTTTACAGAGCTGCATATCATTTTGCATGTGCCAGGCTCAAATTCCCAAGTGCTTTATAATATTCTTCTCATGTTCAAGCTTCAGCCTCTAACTCCCTCCATCCGAATTAAGATGTAAGCGCCAAGTTTGTCAGGATTGTCTTGATTGTTCCCAGTGGGATCATTTTGGACAAAACAGAGCTGCTTACATCATTCAGATCCTTCTGGTAAACAATTGGATCATGAAGGAGGGTGAATATAAGAGAAACAATACTCGGAGATGTAGAATATATTTTCTACATTGCACTCAGAGAAAAACAGTTTACAGAGGACATGTATCACTGTTATCCTCCTTATATAAGAGGGATGAATTTTCATTTACAAGGAATCCCTACAGCTTTTGGAACTTTTAAAATAAATTGTAACAGAGGTGAGCTATCGACACCACAGAGTGAGAATGAAGAAGAAAACAGATAACTGTGCCCCAACCTTCTCCAAAGTTGGTTTGAAGATCTTCATGCAGACATGTCAAGCAAAGCATTAACTCATCATTTCTTTTTCCACTTTTTTCACATAGTCTGTTAAATACCTCTTTTGTCATCTACAAAATGTGCTGCATCCTACACCAGTGTGACCAACATACCATCATGAAAGGTAGAGACAAGTATATTATTTCATCATGGTTCTACTCAAAGATGGTGACCACAAAACCATCACTTTGCTGCATTAAGCATTAGGGGTGGGAGTAAAAATCGATACAGCATAGTATCGCGATATTTTGTCTGGTGATGTATCGCATCGTCTCATTTGTATTGATTTCTTCAAATTAATTGCTAATATGAAGTCAAATCTGTCATAATGGAAAATAAAATCAACTGTTTGTCCAGTGAAGTTGGCAGAGGTGACAACGTAGAGGAAAAGAAAGTTAGTACAACAAATATATATATAAGGTTTGCATGATGTGCAAATAAAATACAAATAAAATACTGTGTAAATAAGACAAACATAAAGGAAAGACATGCTTGATTAGCATTTGTATAAATCATAATATATGGTATTGCAATACTCACTGTATGCAAAATGTTAAAAATAGCAATAATAGCATACTGTGGCCCAAGTATCGTGTTAAT